GTCATACTATTACCAAACATTGATAGGTCAAGTAGCGCGAGATACCCGATTTGTTAGCGGTTGTTTATTCCATAAGCTGCCTTATCACTCACTTCATTGAAGAAATTAAGTTTTATCTTAGTTTTTGGACAAAATTACACTGAAACTGAATTTCTTGATAATGAAAGACGTTAAAGGAGAAAGTAGAGAAGGGTCCAGTAAGTCAATTGGTTGGGCTTTTGTGGCAGGAGACGCGCATCAGCGCCATGTTAAGGCGTTGAATATGTCTCGAAAGTATCTTCGGTCCTCAAATGCGTTCACCGCTGGTACGTGGAACGCGTGACAACGCATGATTCTGAAATCGAACCGATACGTCCATCGTTTGATTCTGTTTTCTATTGTGAGTGCACTATTGAACCGGCTCTCTCAGCAGCCTATCGATAGCCTTTGATACCAGTGCTTAACTTCACTCGACCGACCCCTGCAATAGTAAAAGCTCGCCTACTCCTAAAACGAATGGGCAAAAGGAGTTCTCCGAGTTTCTCACACTGTCCCTTGCTTTTTTTGAATGCTCACCACTTGGCTCCTCTTCGCTTTTCAACTTAATCACCTAATAATAATATATCTTGTGCTTGAAATTTTAAGCCGCCTCGTAATAGGTCCCATTTGATTAAAATTATGACATAATTAAAAATCATGCTAACTAAAAATACGCATATGAACGGAAAATATCGGAAAAGGGATTGCGGGGATTGCGCTAGAGTACAGATCCGTCGCAGGGCTTTTCCGAGGAAGAAGGTATGCGGAGGAGCAGTAGTGTATCTTCATCTGAAAGCTTTTTTTCATTCATTTTCGGAACTTTTCGTTTCGAAGTGCAGTGTTTTCTTCTATGTTTGCCCTCGACTTCTATTTAGGCTTTCGTTTTCAGTGTCTCCGCCGCTGTCTTGCTTTTTTTCTTCAGCGTTTCATTTCACCCCTCTATTTTCATTTCCAAACGCAGTATTACTCTTAGTCAGTCGTAGAATGTGTTCCTAGCTGTTCCCTATAGAACTCTCCATTCTAAGAGTACTGCTTTACTCACATCAAATTATGTGCGATTCAGTAGTCATTTTCGAAAACTGTTTGCTTGATAGTCTGTTTTGAGTTCTTCATCCAAAAAGATTGGGTGTCTGTTAAAATTTTCAGTTGTACTCACACATAGACAATGTACTAAATATCCATCGTTATTTGGAAAAGCGCAGCTTATCGTTTCTTCATTTGAAGGAGGATCTGGAGTCCATTGCATCGCGTTTGGAGAAAAATGAGCTGTGGGTACATAGCGAATATCTCGATACGGTCAGCTCTATCAAACACACAATAGTAAGAAGAACGTTCATTCCTCCTGTGAACTGTGATGTGTGCAAGAATCCCATTTGGCTGGTGGTGAGTTATTTTGATTAGGCTTCAAGGTTGAAACTGTCATAATCTTGTTTTTTTTTTTCAAAGACTTGTGGAGAACTTGAAGTTTGTATTGTAAGAGTTTTACCAAGCGCACAAAAAGTTTTCCTATTGTGCAATGTTTATTCTATGTCGCAGGGATACCGATGCGAGTTTTGTCAGTTCAAATTCCATCAGCGATGTTCTTCATTTGCTCCGCTCTATTGCGATTTGATCCAGACAGTACCACGCGACGAAGCGGTCAGTTTTTCTCAAATAGTAGTCCTTAAACGCCGTAGTTACATGGGCATTGTGAAATCACCTTAAAGTCCACTATCAGCACATGCGGCTGGCCTTTGGGAGGGTTGTCTCTGTTCTTTTTGTGATTTCTAACTTAGATTCATCATCTTTCTGGTCTGCCAGCATGTTTATCAGTGATGATACGTATTGTTTTCCATCTCTGAAAATGAGTGCAAGCAGTTCAGGAGCATTGGGAAATGCCAAGTAAATCAGATAAAGTTATGATTTTTTATGTGAAATGTGGCGCCATATGGCGCAGCGGAAATACGCAATCTGCTTAAATGGTCGTATGTTCTCAGGTACATTCATGAAGTAACAGCACGTAGCACTATACTTCTTTTCAGCTAGCTCAACGCCTTCTCTTGATAGCATCACGAATGGAGGGCCAGGACGCCGAAATAGCTGAGAGCGTACTAAATCAATTACAACCCAACCCCAGCCCTGCTCACACTCCGGAAGGAAGTCATGCCGACCTCACCTTAAAGAGGTTTACTATTTACATTTTTTTGCACGATAGAACGGACGTGCTCTGTATTACTTGTAGTCGTTTCCTCTGCTCAAACTGAATTGTAATTAAGAGGTGGAGGTGTGAAGAGGCATCAGCCATGAGTGCGCCGACGAAGAGAAGACCTGGTCCGTTTAGCTCATATCGCGAAGATCGGTGAGGAGCAATTGTCGTTTGTAAATTCATCGAAATGTGGCGTGACCACCTTAGCATTTACCAACTTTTTTTTCAACTTTTCTTCCTTAAGGTCCTCATCTGCACCGAATATTAATGCTATCAATGATGAGGTTGTATTAGAACACAATGTAAGTTTGATTTCCTCATTCTTAGTCATTGTGTCTCCACCTTTCTCAACCTTTCCTTTGTGCTCGAGGTTCGAATTAGGGCGCACATTCTCATAGAATGGTAATGTTACGAACATTATCGAACACCTTAAAGCAGTGATTAAACGAAAAGTATGGAAATGTGAGGCGCGAGTCCTGATGACGTAATTAAGCGTATAGATGTGGGTGGAATATTCTTCACCGTGCTATTCGACGAGGTGGTACGGAAGGCTTCTGGAACGCCTGTTCACTGATGGCATACCGCAACCGCATCCTGCGGCCATCGTGATCACTGCCTTCAAAGATTACGCTGTGAAGTTCCTGAAATTATAGACGTTTTTTTCGTTGAATTTGATTGTTTGTCTTTTGCAGCAGCGTATTTTGGACGCACTGGAAATGCAGCAACACGGTTGGTTTTCTTTTGCATTTTTTCCTTACTTTTAAGTATACTAAAGAAATTTTCCAGCCGATCCGAAGCGAGTTCGCGTAATATTTAATACGATGTAAAAAACCCAGATACAGTTTCAAGCGGGCAGCTTACAGCAATCAATGCTGCTCCAACAGGAGGAGGTTTGGGGGTGAGAAGGCCACCAAATCGCCTTCATCCACGTGCTGACACTTCTCCCTTTGGTTCAAATTCACCTTCAAGTAAGTTTTATATCTCTCAAATTGACCATCATTATTTGATCTGCTGGTTTCTTCGCATGATGCAGTAGCATTTGCAGTATTCTCAGAACCTTTAGGTGTATCCAAATAATTAGTGCTGTCATTTCTGAAGTAGTGTATGCATTATCGAGAACGTTTTCCAAAGTGTGAACCACTTCATCGCGTAATTCTGGCCCCTGTAACTTGTCCTAATAGTTTTTCCACTCATTCCCATTCAAACCCTGTGTGATAGGGGTTTGGGATTTTCCTTCGTTTCTTATGCTGGAAAACGACAGCCGAAAAGTGATGTGAGAATACTTATGCTGCACTCAAACGAGATTATTAGCCGTATCCTTCATATTTTTCATTGAAATTGCATCCATTCTATATTGGCATTTGTTCGTGTTCAGGTACTTGTTCATCCCCACCTGCTAACCAACAACATGCCGGACAGCTTTTACCACCTGCGCTTCCTCTCACTCCACCACAAAGTGCTCCACCTCAAAAGGTATGTTTTCCTATGCCAGTGTACATTATTATCATACTGCACCTATATGGTATGATTCCCAGTTTTCTCCTGGCTTCTTTCCGTGGCAGAAGCCGTTCTCCAGGGGAGAGACTGGAACCGCAACGTACTCGAGCTCTCGCAAATAAACTTGCGCATGAAGATTGGGAGGTACGGATACTTCAAACATATCTACATTTTTGGGTTGCCTTTTGATCGCCTCTAATTTTCAGATTGATGAAAAGCAAATCACCCTACAATGTAAAGTTGGTTCTGGATCATTCGGTACGGTGTATCGCGGAGAGTACTTTGGTCTCGTTGCTGTGAAGAAACTAAATGTGGGCGAACCTACACTGCAGCAGCTTCAAGCTTTCAAGAATGAGGTAGTGTAGTGTTGTTTTCCCATCCCATTTTTGTTATTCACCAAATTCTTGAACGCCAACTACGCATCATCGATAGGGCGTGTGTTGACGCTCTTTCTAGTTTCCGTACTGACCGCACCGTTCACTATTCGCAACGTCGTCTACGGCGCAAGTGTGAGAGCAATTTGGACATCACGATAGCAAATTGCGAGATGAAGTAATTAAAAATGATAAATAGTTGGAGCTCGGGATGCGCTTTGCATGCTCAAGCTACATATTTTTTGGCGCACAACTCTTTAGCGCACTCAAGTTGGTGTCACACTGTACACTCCATTATGATAGAGAGAAAAGTTACACAATTTCATGGAAGAATATGCGGGCAGTCGTTGAGTGGCCTTGTCCTTTATCGCATTCTTTTTTAAAGTCTTTCTTCTCATTTCGGAATACAGGAACACCTCTGTTTCTTTACTAGTATGCAAAAATATGTGAAAGTGTTCTTAAGAGAAGAAAAAGTAAACAGTAACGATTGTGAAACATGCAGTAGCAGTCAGAAATGATCCCCGATGTTGGCTCTCGTGCGCTATCTCTTTTAATCCATTCGTTTCAAGCTTTTATCTGTTATCTTTTATTTTATCGAATTCTGAGGTCATCAGGATTCGAAAGTGCGCAACGCGTTGGAGCGCAATTTTGGAAGCGCAATTCCTCAACGCACATCCATGACTTTTGAGTGCGTAATTCACAAGGACATGGGGCAAAATCATTTCAGCAAAGATCAATATGCAGAAGCCACTCAGGGATAACAGTAGTATTCAACCAGTCGAACGTGTAGTGGCAAGTAAAAGAAATTATCAATCCTGTAGTGGACGGCAAACATGTTTGCCTCGATTGCTGCAGTAAAAACGCTTATATTTTGGGTCACAACATACGACAAGTTATGTTCTATAGACATACAGAAAAGCTTAGAAATACGTTGCGGTTAAAAATGGCCGATATGGATGCGCTATCCCATGTGGCCTACAAAGTGCGTGACGTAAGTGTCCCACGCATCGTCATTGTGTTACGGTCTTCATTAAAGGGAGGAAAGTAATTCTTAACACGTTGACGGCATTGTGACGCGGTAACGCGTCCCACCCAAGTCATCCCTTTTTCTTGCGCTTGCGCGACTTATTCCTAAGGTCTTTGTACTCATTCTATAGGTCATACATTAGCATACTTAAAAACCACATGGCTCACAGAAAGGCCAAATATTCTTTAGTTTGGCAGAGGTTTTCCAGACCTTACGGATATGTCTGTTCAGTTCATTCCTCGTTTTCTTTTCATTAACGTAACATGTTGATAAAAAGGAATAATAGAAGCGAATACAAACCTATTCGTATGGGAAGATATGTGTTTTTACTGAAACAACCACGTCCAAATTAATTTTGGAACCACTAAAGGGAAAGTAAGTAAAATTTGCCTTTTCATGGCCTTAACACGTCATTTCGGTCGAACTTCCATTACTGTAACTCCGATAAGTTAGACAGATCGAACATTATTGAAAACACTTCATCGCATCTAAGTATTGCGTATTTACAGCTCAAAATCCATGGATTTGTGTGCGGCGGCGGCGCTCGCAAAATCGCTCTGGTCCCACGCGGTGCAAAAACCAAAACGCGCGATGTCGTCAAACGTGTTAATCTTCAGCGCTGCTATCTGGTATTGTGTGTCGTTGTCGGTTCCTTTTTACAAGATGCTCTTTCGTAGGGGTAGAACCTTACTCTCCAGCTCTTCTTGAAGAGCAAACCCAGACAAAAATTCAGCAGATATTCTCATTTGAATTTTTTAGGTAGCTGTGCTGAAGAAAACGCGTCACTTGAATGTGCTTCTTTTCATGGGTTGGGTTCGTGAACCATCACTCGCCATTGTAACACAGTGGTGTGAAGGCAGTAGTTTATATAAACACATCCATGTTGTTGGTATGTTTTATTTTCTACAAGTGGCTTTTTCGATGTTTCAGTGCATTATCATAGTGTGTAGTATTTTTCACCGCTGGATGAAAATTCATCGATCAATTTAGAAATTTTCAGAACCTCGGGTGGAGTTT